GTGCCCTATTTCAAAATGATATTTTAACCCTGGGACGTGTCTTGCTCGCGACTCCACGTGAACTACGTGTGGGCCAGTCCCGCACGTAACATCACGGTGAGTGGCCTTTCTGTTCAATATAGCGTCTGTTTGAAAGTTTGATCTTCATTAATACTTTAACGTTCTTTTCCACCGAATAATAAAAAGTATTCTAACATAAAGTACGTCCAGGCTCTGAGGAAGGCGAAGTCGCCGAAACGTCAGCCATCGATCAATAACATCAAAAACAACAACAACGAAACGAAGATCTGTACCAACATCGCGTCAGCTTAAGAAGATCAGTTCATAAGATCACATAAATAAATATATCAACTATCTATGCCGAGGTTTATAGAAAGTCGGTCTTTCGAGTTATTTGGTTTAGAGTTTAGATTACTTCTTATTAAGGTTGAGGGATAATTGCTGAAGAATGAAAATACGGCTATATAATACTTCCAGGTTTTGAAGATGCTGAAGTCGTCGAAGCGTCAACTGCTGAATCACAAGACAAGTGATAACAGTTTGGTGCCAACTCAGAAAAGTGAGTTCGCAAGATCATAGAGAAAGACATGGATTCCATTTCTTAGTCTCTTCATGGTTGTAGAGAAAACAAGTTTACCCACCATGTTTACTGAAAGATGTCCTCCTACCAAACCTGGAATGTAAAAAGTTCAGCAAACAAAAAAAGTTGAAAGCTGAAGACTTTTAAGAAGGTGTTTAGTTACAAGTCCATTTCTAGAGTCATTTCCCGAATATAAGTTTTTCTACCATGAAATCTCACCGCTGATGATTGCCATAACTGCTTGTTTCCGTTAATTTCTTGCAGTCGATGCTGTCCATACCTGAAATGCACTGGGTTACCATCTCAAGAATGTATTCCATAGAGAAGCAGTAACTTACTAAGGAATAACACTATTATGAGTGCTACAAGTAAGTGTTGATGTTTCATAATGGAGGGAAACAGCTTCATGCTCTCTTTCTCCTAACAGTATAAATACATTCAACTCAAACACAAATGTGTAACATTTCATTTTCGATGAAATGTCCTTCAAGTGATGTGTATCACAATGTCACATAACAATAGTTTGCTAGTAAACAAAGAACAAGCTGTCGTGGAAAAACATAGCCTACGCGCTATCATCGTTTAGTCGACGTTACGTCAGGAGAATCATCCTGCAGATCCAGATAATTTCCCCTATAGGCTGCACATCGTCAAGTAGAAACGGCACTCCTGCACCAAGCACGACAATGAAGCAAGTGGAAGGATTGGTAGGTTCCACCTCAGATGTAAGGAAGTGTCACCTAAGTATTTAAATGAGTATCAATTCAAACCATACCGTTATTTATTTCTTTACTTTTAAGCGCTGGTTTTACATAAACATAAATTAGGGAACCAAATTTCGGTTAGAAATTCATATGAGAGCTATCAAATGTGCTATCAAAGGAGAACGTCAAAAAGTGTTTAAGCCTTGGAGTCCGAAGGAGGTCTTTCGCAAACTGCTGATAATTTTTCGCCAAGTGGAGTACTTGAGGTTTGACTACGTAGTCGGCCTATAGAAGAGAATTTCTCTATCTGTTCGAGGGTCAGCATAGCGTTTTAATTAGGGCCGTGTGACGAAGTGGTTAGAGGTAGTTTACAATCTACACCTGATCGCTGGTTCTGTAGCGCGCTGCGGACCCACTCAGTCGTTTCGGTGCTACAGAAAGAATGACATACCAGTTAAATGAAGATTATGCTGGATTCCGCACTCTCTATGAAGACCAGCCATTAAGGCACTAAGGAACTGAGACCTCTAAAAGTGCTGACGAATAAGTGAATACATAAATATTATCCTACTCTGACCAAGACCAAGCTGAAACATGCAGGAAATTATGAAGCTTTTGCAACAGACCACCAGAACGCCGCATAGCCAAGCCTCGGAAACGAATTCCAGTGTTCCCTTAAAGCTGGTTTGATTCCCAACTTATTTCAGCCTTTTGTCAGTCCATACATTGAATGTACTACGTCATAATGTACTATTCTAGTGAAATATAATAAGTATAGTACGAGAAAGATGTCTCGAAACGACGAGATGCAAGAACAAAATAGGTTAATATAAGTCGAAGTTAAGGAAACTACTCTCTTCCTAAATTCCACAACATCTACTTATGATGGCACTAAACGGTGTTTGGATGAGATATTGTTTTAAAACGGCTGATAGGTGACGACTTTATAAAGTTCGGACAACAGAAAGAGTACACTGAACTGGGAGCGTAAGCGGCGTGTTATAGTGCTGATAGCTGATCCAGTTCTTCGGGTCTTCGGAGGTTTAATGCTCTTCTCATGATATCGTGGACTGGTCGACGCTCAGCAATAGTCATCGCTTTGATGCTATTCATATTTGCGGTATGTCCTGTCCCTGTTCTCATTTTCTCCGTATCATTTGCAATAACCACATATAATATGCTCTCATAAAATGGCTAAACCAGCAAAACTCCGAAAAAAATGGAAATAATGCTGTGGCCCCCACAACCAATGAAGCCGGGCCATCCAAGTATTCAAGCATGTAAGTATTATACTCTCATAGAAAATCTGGACCCATCGCAATTTGCCCTCAATTTCTAGCCGATTTTGTTTGTATGCCATTTTTGTTCTATTTTATTGACCGGTTAATGCAGAACACACTACTTTGACAATGTAAAAGGTAAAGTGATCGGTGTCGTTCAATGTATAAAGGATGTTCCATGCATTTGGTTCTATTCGTAGCATCGCAGATTTGATTGAATGCATATTTGGCCTAAACAATGACTGGAGATAGCCTAGTATTCTAAGAGTGTATTGTTTTTATTTTCCCAAACAAGTTAGTATCAATTTTTCGACTCCGTAAGGATGTGGATTCAATGAGAGGCGAAGGATCGAACCCGCGACTCCGCGTGTACTGCAGGTTCACTTTTACTAATTGCGCCTCTTTGGCAATATAGTGTACTAAAGTCGAAATTAAGAGTAACGGTAAAACACTCTTTCATCTGGCTGATGGCGTAATTACGACGCTAAGGTTCATCTCATCGTTGGATATTTTCATGCTCCGTCTTCACCAGGAGGCATTAATTGGCTCGAGATTTTCCTATTTTCCTCCTTGGATCCAAGATATAGACTCGGTGGGCTTAATCGACCAAGGTGTTTGCCGTTCCTTGTGGAGCAGAGGAAAATTTAGCATATTTTGACTTTCTCTAAAATTTCGGAGTTCCTAGTATACCATCACTCTTGGCTCGACCCATGGATGTCAATGCCCAGCTCGTTCCTCTTCTACGAGACAAGAATTAGCCATTTATTGTAAATCACGCTTTAATGCTGGAAAGAATACGAATTTCACACACAGAGATAGTGAAAAAACTGAATAGAAATTGCTAAACGCCTTGACTAGGGATGGCCTTTGTACGAATAACAACATCTAACGCATTTCCATCGAATTCTCTCGTCTTTTTTCCGTGTTGGATTTCAATTTTCTCACTCCTTCATCCAATCTTTTCTGAATAGTGTTTTACCTTGTTCAAATATCCCAGCTGCCGAAAACAGAGCGCCTCAAATGTGAGCTTTCAGTTTTAATTTATGTCCAAAGAGATATTTTAAAAGCACAGTTCTGACTTATTATTTACTGCCTACTCTTTTTAATGGCAGGGTGTGGTCGTGAACGCGTTAGGCCCGGAAAGGGTAATAGCGTTCTCGTTTCTCACCGCCGACACCTACAGTCCACAGTTTTGCAAATATCTTAGTATGATTGGGGTTATATTTTAATAGTGCTTTTTATGCCTGCACCACAATGACCCCTAGCCGTAGACCTTTATAGTGATGGATTTTCTAGAATATTCAAACAAGGCTTTGGCAATTTTCGACCTATTTCAGAATTGTGATACTCACGTACCGACTCTCAGCGAAATCGCTCACATCAATGATCCGGTCTTAAAAGAAGTGTTTGCTTCATCAGGTATTCCAAATGTGAAAGCTCGTCCAGGACTCGATGGTTATCCTCAGCTGCCACAGCGATCATATGTTGCTCGTCCTCAACAAAAAATGATATACTACGGTGAGTCGCTTAAAACACAGGCGACATAACGCATTGATTTCAACGCGCTCGTTCATTAAGAAAATACGGATTGCAAATTTAAAAATGAGACAGAAAACGGTTACCGCTCAAGGTTAGTATAGATCAGGGAAGAGTGCTCTTTGATATTTGACAGTGGTGCCTGCTTGCTTTTTTAATTACCCAAATTAAGACTAGATTGAAGTTTGTACGTGTAACTAAGTGTTCAGAAATACTTACGAGGTCTCTTAAAAACTTATCACGTCCTGTCTTAGCTGAAGATTTCGGTGCTCTTAGGTTGACTTGCTCTCCTAACTAAGTATGAAATATTCATACATCATTTGTAAATAATTAAGAAAGTTGGTTCATTTGTGATCCATTTTTCACATTTATTAGATGACATTAAAGCATTTAATAATAAGTATAATGGCCAACTTGATCTACTGCCTCATTGTGCCTGAGTGGTGTTTCAGAGATACAAAATGGGGTTCATCCTCAGCAAGCTCTTCTAAGTTGAAAACTAATTAAAATTTTTTGTCCGTAAGTCCGCCTTGAAGTTCCGAACGCCAGGGATCGCTACCATCGTTTAGAAAATCCAGTCGTATGATTGCAACCTCTTTCCAATCCATAGGGGTATGCGACGGTCTGCGATAACGGAGTAGTAGCGCACTGGTAAGGCTCTTTCACGATTCGGCGGAAACAATCTAACCCATTAAGTAACACGTTGTTCGAACGAATAATGTACCAGAAGGCGAACGATGCGGTGGACGTGAAGGGTCACTTTTATATTGAACTACCGATTATTTAGTAAAAATCATTTAAAGAAATGGTTGAGGAGAGGACCTGCGTGGTGTAGCGCTGTACGTGTTAGCCCCTGGATAGGGTAATAGCGTGTTCGTTCCCACCGCAGTCTCCTGCGGTCCAGAGTTTTGCAACTGTCTCAGCATCGTTGCGGTTGTGTTTCACATTATACTCTGCTACGAAAAAAACGCCGTAGATAGAAAGTGGTTGCACTAAAAAAAGTTCTTAAGACTATAGAGACTATAAAGATAAGGTAAGCAGGGACGAAACCATGTTACCTAGAGAAATTGGTTATCTAGAATATCCCATTGCGATTTCCATAATAAATATTGCTGAAGAGATCCATCAAAGATACGAATTTCATAGAAACAAGATTGAAAAAATCAGCAATTACTATGAAATATCAACGATAACTGTCCTTGGAATACAAATAAGAATTAAAACACCTGCTATTTATCGAATTTATCAGCCCATCGATATTGGTTAGTTTTAGTTTGGAGTTGAACCGCACTCCATTGGGACATAGGCGTGAACTCAACGCAATAGTCCACGGGTTCCTTGTGGAACGATGACTGTAAAAACCTTGCTTTATATTTTTTATTTTATATGACCCGTCTTCACATCTACTGTGTGGATTCCAGCGCTTCTCGCATTCGATTCGTTTCCTCGCATCCATTGTCCACAAAAACCTTCCAACTTTTACATGTCGCTTCGGTTACTGCTTGACGATTTTCATTTCACCTTGAACGTCGTGGAATGCTGGTCGAGCAATTCCGCCAGAGTCCTAAGACAGCTGAGCTGGAGCGTTCCCAGTTGGATTGCACAGAGTAATTTTTTTCCCAGAAAATTCCGGTACCAGTTTTCTGACCCCGGGGGATGAGACGCTTGGTTGACCCTGAGCGGAATCGAACTGGCTCAGGCTCATGATAACAGACATCTGTATAACAGACCACTGCGCTATCCAACACCTCTTTGTAATTTGATGGGTAAAAAAAGAAAAAGAACTAGACAAGCTTCATTGTAGTCCCACTATGGCTTTTAGAGGAATGTTTTGAAAAGTATCTTTAGCAAAATTCGAAATATTTACATCTTCACCGGGATTCCTTTTTTAAAAGTCGTTCTCCTTTAGCGAAGCACTTTCTGTTGAGATAAACAAAATTTCAATCTTGTAGCCTCTTTAAATTACTGTCAACATTATTTTGTACCGCTTATGATTCTTTAGATAGTAAAGGAAATACCACATTTCTAGGTCTAATATTAATAAACACCTAGAGATCTAATGCGCCGATAAACCCTTTTTTATTAAATTAGATCCGACAACCTCTAGATAAGATCGCTGCGATAGCCCATATGATAAAGTTCGCTATGCCTAAGCAGGATTTTGCGCTTTACGGCGGTTTTAGCTTTAATGAGGAGCAGATTTATGGCTTTAGATCAATTTGGATTAGAATGACAGATATACGATGTGATTAGATAATCCAAGTGTCCATGCTTAACATGCGGAGTTATCACAACCAAAATTTCATCATCCTCGTAGAGATGGAACATTCCGAAATCGTGATAACACCTTCCCAGGAAAATTAGCCAGATCTAACCTGTGAAAGGCAAGAAAGATTGAGACATGTTAATCTGGAAATGGAAGGTAATAATGTCAAATATTAGTAAGACGAAGCGAGTTGGTTTTGGCGACAGTATGGAAGGATTCCACTTTGGGTAAACCTAAAACAGTGTGCGTATAAACCGGATATTTTATTGGTATCTTATTCGTGCCGCAGGATACGCTAACAGAAATATCTAACCTTTTGCTGTCTGGCTGAGTACATCTGGATTGCAAACGTCATCATGGCGAATGACTTAGTGGCAACGATAAACAAGAGGAATCCAGTGGCTTAGCAAGTTTGTAAGATTGCTGGATTGCTAGTTCACCGTGTCGACTCCACAAATCTTTATGTACTAACAGTCGTATCGGATTTGTGTTCATTACCTGCGCGCCATGAACGTGCGCTCAACGTTATTAAGTTCTCTATATATAATTCTATATAAATATATATATATATAATAGTAAAAAATGTACTAGTACTGTGAGTGTCGTGTGTAGTAGAAATGGGAGAGGGAATTCCAAGTATCACCTACGGCAACAGTCTGAGAGCACAAGTGTTGGTGTAGATAAGTCAAAGTGTAGCAAATCAAGTTCATAGCACAAGTGATGTGTCTCAACAACAGTCGCTTAAGAGGATCAGCTGGTTTTTATGGAATGTCAGGTACCCAGCCAGAAGGCAGTCGAGGCGTAGCGAAAAGTTCTTGGGAACAACGATTCAGAAGATAATCTTCATGTTTGTGATTATGTCGTGGCAGATAAACTTTGTTGCGAAAGATTTCGTTGGTTCAAGTTTAAAAAGTAAGTGGTATAAGAAAGTTTTCCAAGTGAAGAGGTTTTGGATGAGCGAAGCGATAGCTCTACCAAAGTAATGATACCAATGCTAAGACTTCAGAGCTTGTCTAAATACCTTTTGCATCCAAAAGTGGACAGAAAGGCTTTTCTACATTGGTCAAGATGTCAGCGAGCGAGAAGTTATCAGAGTTAAGTTCATTCTGTTGGTGACTGTTAGATGTTCATTTGACTCGATCTCTATTCGAGCCATACTCACCTAATACGAGAACTATCCTATTCTTACTTGTTACTTATTTAATACTTAAATCGCACATTCTCGCTATGTATCGTGTGGTTCAAAGAGCACTCTTCATCAAGCTAAAATCATACTGATTTGTTACAACTTCCTACCTGGAATCCCAAAAATGTCGTTCCAGGGCCTTAGTTAGCCATCATCAGATAACCGCTATCCCCTATGTATCCTATCAAAGTTTCTCACTTCACGAATACAATTTTTCACACTGATGGCAATTTTTGGTGTAGACTTATTCTTCGCTGCGCGTATAGATGGATATATGACGCTCCTTCTTGGAATCCGTTATCGGGATACTGGGGTGAGCGTATTGCTGTCCATCAAAATTTTACATCCATGTGCATCTCACAGTCATAATGAGGCCTTAAACCATTAGGAGCTTGTTCTCATAAAAGATCATCTATTTGGCTTTGTGGTCTCAATAATTCAGCGCAAATTACTTACATTTATTGGGCTTCACTGATGCTTCTATCGATTGCGTGTCTTTTAGAGTCTTAAAAACTCATTATGACGTCAAAGCAAGATTTGATCATGGAAATATGATACTGTTGTTGTAGGCGAAGTCCCCATTGAGCACCATCAGCAGCCACTGGGCCCTGTACCTACGGAAAACTCCATGTCACTAGCAGTCAGTAGCGGCGTCAACGCACTAGCCACCGGAGCCGATGTCTTATACCGGTAATTTTTTCAGATAGTCTCCATCGCAGTACTAGAAATAAAGTTTACTTTCCTCGCATATTGCCGTGAGTATGAGAAGTAGTCATAGTACAGCAGAAGACTTCCAGTTAACGTAAGAGAAATACCATTTGTCCAGTGATTGTTAACCATGTGCTTAATTTTCTTCCATGATTTTTGTCGAAAGGCAGCGTGCACAGTACCCAGTAATTCTTTACCAGGACGCTGTCAAACAGTTCATATTTAACCACAATGATGATCAGATATTCGCAGAACTTGGATCCCAGGCCAGATCGAGCCACCATTACCCTTCCGGAGGCTCGCGAATTACGCAGTGCACCACTGTGGAGCTTGATTTATGTTTCTCTCAGCTGGTCATCTACTCCGCAATCTGCCATCAGTCATTTCTTTTGGCGTCAGCAATCACTCGTCGGTGGGATTAGGCAGCAAACAAAACGTTAACTTTATTATTTCGACTACAGCCTCAGCTTATCTGGGATCGATGCCGATTTGTGTTTCTCAGATCAGTCCCGCTGACGGGTGATTGCTGATGGCAGCTTTAGGTAGAAAACCAGCTGAGAGAACGCAAAGCAAGGGCCTCAGTGGTGCAGTAAGTAATACGTGGGCTCCCGGAAAGGGAAATCGTGGTTCGATTGGGTCCAAGTTTTGCGAATATTTCAGCATCGTTGTGGCTGTATCTCACATCACACTCTGCCGTGAAAAATTATAGTAGGTAGCAAATAAAAGGTTAACATGCTGAATTTTAGGTAAAAACACTTAGTTTCAACCTGAAATGTCTTAGGATTTAAATCTTTGGATCATTGGACCACTTCGAGTCTGATTCGGTGAGCCTGACGCATACTAGTGAACTCCATTCGTGTATCAGAATCACATTTGGTATCACTCTCTTAAGGGACACCAATAGCATCACACTAATATCATGCTGTCATTCTTCACTATTCTGTCTAGTGAAAAGTTTGCTGGCACAAGGTCTCTGTCGCGCTATAGGTATTCCTCTTACTTGGTCCTCGAAGTGGAAATATCGAACTTCTTTCCCAGTTTGGGTGAACCTGTTTTGGGTCGAAAATTGTGTGGATTTCACTTCGACATAAGAATATTCTTTAAGCATGATGATACAATGGCCTATTGGACTTGAATTGAAATTGTTCAATTTTTAAATAGCAGCCGGAAGGTGAAGGACCAGGTAAAAAAGACCAGGTTTTGTTTTATTTCTATAACCATTTTATCACCGGCTTCATGGCGATGTAGTGGGCCACATGTTTTTTTTTGTTTCATGTTATCGGTAGAATATTTGTATTAATTATTTTCTCTCGTTATGGCAAGGAGAAAAGTCTTCTAGTGGAGCGGCAACCGTTGGAGAAGCGTTTGGCATTGACACTCGAGCCTATCAAGCACCTCTTTTCAGTGCCGCTACACAATTCTTCGGCAGAAGATGATCACGTATGATGTGCTTTAACCGGTTTTCTGTACATATTATTTTATTTCCCAATTATTATTTGCTTACGAATGAAGTTTTTCATCGTTTTGTGTCGATACTATCAGAATGGTCCGGAGATAAGAACAAGTAACCAACGGCAGGCACTCGTCTACGTGTCTCGACGAAAATGAACTAATCAGATAACCACGCAGATGTTAAAGGAAGTCAGCTTACCGATGGGGATCGACGTCATCCGTTCGTACGGCTTGTCATTATGCATCGATGGTTGTAATAACGAAGAAAATTGGAAAAGAATCATTCTTTTCGATGGCTTTCACTTAACCTCGTTCTTAAAAATAAGATTATTTTGTTCCCTTAAACTGCTTTTGACGATCTGAGACGAGGTTTGTTATAGCTATTTTTAGTTTTCAATAGCTGGAATTCCAGTTGCTCTGCGTTCTCCAATGATAAGCTCATAGAGAACAATTCGTACTCGCTTGTTTTACTCGGAGTTGAGGTAAACCTTTGGTGGGAGTTCTACTTGAGAATGGGCACCTAATGATCTTTGAACCCTCCGAAAAAATCAAGAACGAAATAGACTTTTTGAATCCGTTTCTATATATTTGGCTTTTAAACCCATGTAACTGCGTCCATTTAAGCTTTTATGGATATGATTCATTTAGAGAGAAACTCAATACGAAGTATAAAGAGGATTGCACTCTTTACAATGACCTTTGGCTTCTGGGCTATCTTTTTTGGCGCCATCATTAAAATGTTATGATTTCAAGGTGGTTTAAACTGTAATGAATTCCAGGAACGATTTACTTATTCTTTTCCTGGTCGTTAGCATTAGATCAAGAGAAGACGTTTTCCGAGCAAAACATTTTCTCAGGTGAATCTCGTGCAAGCGATTACCCATTCCGAGGGACATGTGTTAGCTACCACGCTAACCGTGTCCCTTGCTTGCCTTTCTCTCAACCAGCTTTCTACTTTTACTTTGAATATTTATAGCCTTGCCGGAAAAAGGGAGAGAAAGGGCCTCAGTTAGTGTGGTGGATAGCACGTGACCACCTGGAAAAGTAGTTATGGATTCGAAGCCCAACTGAGGCTTTGAGTCTTGCTGTCATCCTTATGGTTTTATTTATTTATATGATCTTATAAACTGTTCTTTTTTAGATAATGCGAGGTTGGTATAGGTCTTCGTTCTCGTTGTCTTTGTTGTTGTTGTTGTTGTTGTTGTTGTTGTTGTTGCTGTTGTTCTTGTTGGTCGATGGCTGACGTTTTGGCGATTTCGCCTTCCTCAGAGCCGTGATGTTACGAGTCGGACTCATGATTATATTTCACATAATAAACTGTTATGAAAGAAGAATAGGCAGTAAATAAAAGGTAGATACTTTAAAAAGTGTAAAATTATGAGAAAAATGGTGGTCTGAATCGTAGGATTCCTTTCCATTTCGGCACATCTTCGGATCATTTGGCGCTAAGAACGGAGTAAACCTGTAAGTGCTGAAGGGTGTTCAGCATTGATCTTAAGTGTCTTCTAGCCTACGTTAAACAAATAGCTTACATGAATTCTGTCCTAAATCGCAACCAAGTACCATGTAACCTATTTATTTCTTGAGTATCCGATTCATTAGTATCACCTGGCCTCGTTAATCATCAAGTGATACAGGAGAGTACAAGTAAGACCACTACTACTTCCTCGAGGAGCACAAGAGCCCATCATCAGCAGATTCTCCTCGCCCGATTTACACGTAGGATCCTCTCTTTACTATTTTTGGGAAAAACTAATCATGGATGGATTGGTGACCTATGTTGTGGCACGTGTTTAGTGCCAGTTGGACTTTACGACGTAAATGTCGGATTATATTGTCAATATGACACTTGACATTTGAACCCGCCATCACTATTTGTGCGGGCTCCGGCATAACCGCCATTTTCGGAGATTTGCTGGTTAAGTCATTGTTGTTCTTTGGAATCCCGAAGTCAGTCTGGCCAAAGTCTGCCCCAGGTCTTCACCACGATAGGCAGTCGCAGCCCTTGTAGATCAGAGGGACCATGCGACCACCATGCGACTTTGTACTCTTAGCTAAGCTTCCTGTTGGAAACACCGGGCTCTTTCTCACTTTCGGAGATCCTGCCGGAGCGTTGAATCTTCCCGCTGTACATCGCAGTCCGACACCCAGGAACACCTCCCAGCCACGATGAGGCGGTAAACCGGTGGGAGGATTGTCAATATATTTTCTACAAATACCATTCATGCTTAGGATGTAGTAGATTCCTTAGCTCATGGAATGTAGTAGATTCCAGCCGTGTTATCGCTACTTCAATAAACATGTGTCATTGCACTCATGTGATTCCGCTTTTTCCTGCTCTGAGTCATTTCTTCTGGGATCATCATATTTTTCTCGCGCAAATGTCGAACATTAAACACTCACATTAATTGGCGTCAAAGCCGCGAGCTTTGCATACGGTGATTTCAATGTAAACCACAACGAAACAGTAGGTATAACGCTAAACCCTATGGACAGCTCCAATGATTGACATTCCTTGAAACTCATAAGAATAGAAGTATAACATAGAGCTCCTAAGCATTAAAGCAATTAAGAATTTGTTTATAAGAATAAGAGTGATCAATAATCTTAGGACTAAAGTGCACATGCTTCAAATCAACTTTTTGTTTTGTAAAAAAAATCACGTGGTGGCAACTTTAGAAGGCAAGGAGATTAGTTCCTATAATCGTTTTTTTCTAAATTGTGTTTATCTACGTCGTCGATTTTCATTCACTGTTTACTAAATTTTAATGGCAAAGTATTATGTGAAAAGAGATAGGAGAAACGAAGGACTCGTTTGAGGTGATGGCGAGCGCGTTAGCCCAGCCCCGGAAAGGGCAATAGTGTGCTCGGTCCCCACCGCAAACATCACCGGTCCGGAGTTTTGCAGATATCTCAGCAACACTGAGTTCATCTAGTTCTTGTGATTCGAACTTCTGCATAACGAGATTTATCAGAGATAGCAATTATGACAGAAACCTTAGAACTGTCAACAAAGGATTATCCTTTGATGTCATTCAGTTCTTCAACCATCCTCATACTTTGAACCAAGAGTTTTAGCTATTACCTATAAAAATCAATTTAAGTAAAGTAACTGCGCTACTAATCTTAAGATCAACATTCATTCCATAGCCTACTGGAGTCAGTGACTTCTTAAGTGATGACATTAAAATGATTTATAACTGGCTGGTACCGATAGGTATTACAGCATATTGTAAAACTTCGTTACAATTCCGTACACAAAATTTGCTTACCAAACTATTGTTCAAGAGATTTTTTATTCCAGAAATCATTAATCAGTCATCATTAATGAAGTTAAATACTTAATACCTCTGGCGCATGTCATTTAATAGGCCCCTATCTTTCGTTGTAGCACACAGAGACGACCTAGTGAGGTCCATTGAGTAGAGAGACACGAATCCCGTCGCACTTTTCCCATATTTTTTTATGATGAAGGGCTTTGCATAAGCGGATGATCGAATTCAGAGACAACGGCCGTGGATACGGTTAAGAGTAGCATATGGTCTTTCATTGATTGAAGATGAAGCTTGGATAATACTAACCACACTGGCTTAGATACGTGAATTAACGAGTTTCTTCGATGAAAAAAAATTGAAGAAGCTGCCAACAGCTGAAAAAGCTACTGTATCACAGCAGAGACATATCCACTTCCGGCCCTTATATGGACATTTCGCATCAAGTTCATCCTGCTATCTTCCTACACTTGAGGGAATGCCACCGAAGAGTCTGATAACTAATTGTGTGACAAACCGTCTCGTGTGAGAAACTTCAGTCAATCATAAGCGAATCAAGCATCATTTCCCTTTTTCTTCAAGTTCTTTGCAATGGTCTGCCTACCTTGATCAGCTAACATGTAGCTGTAATACAATGTTATATAACATCTTAACAAAATACTTCTGCGCGTTTCGTGTTTTGCAGAGCAAGTTGTCGTATGTACCCAGTTGATGTAGCAATTTTCACATCTTACGTCTAAACACTTTCTAAATTGTGGTGCTGTGCTGACGACTTTAACTTTTAACTATAAATTCATACATTCAAGTCAAATATTTTTTAGCATCTGCATTAGGATTATAGTCTTCATTCTGAAGTCTTCAGCGTGTATGAGAAGTGATGGGTTTTGATGTGATTATTCTACACTTAGAACTAGAGATGCAAACTAGGTTTTAGTTACTCGGGTAGCACAGTTGCAATGAACCCGTTTATCTCTTTTCTGGTTCTACTCCGTATCTGGCTTATCAAATCCTTTTCGCCTCCTAGAACGGGATGTTAGTACCCTACATGTTTGGGACAAGCCCAGTGCCTACGATCTAAGAGGGAACGCTCTATGCCGTTCATTCTAGAACTACAATGAAAATCGACTCGACTCAACATTCAAAGGCTTTCATAAGGAAGACGATAATCCTTAAACAGCAGCCATTGTAACATGGTCGAGGACTTTGGTGAATGACGAAGGTGAGAAAACGAATCGAATAAAGGAAGTTCTAGGATCCGCACAGTAGATGTGAAGACTGGTAGAATAAACTGAAAAAATTCCATTCTGGTTAGAAATTAGCTAAATCTCTTTGTCGGGCCAATAAAACTGCTGTATATTAGAGCCATTGAGTTCGGATAATCTTGCATTTGCAAGAGTCTGCGGTCGTAAACGCTGTTGTGAATTCTGTGACACCCATGAAAGTACGATAACAATACGAAAACTTCTACCGTATTCTCGATAAACAAGCTACAAAAACCTTTTATAATAGATGCCAAGCAACTGACGGGTGTTAAGATTGCACTTAGAGGATTGATACATCTTAGAAACCAAATGCCACTAACTAGGCACCATGAAGAAGTGAACATCCTTCCTGAAAATAAGCATGCACTCATTTACTGCAGTACCAATATTAATTGTTCTGTTAACCTTCAGAACTATTAGACAGACCGAAACAAAAATCTGTCGGCAAGA